ATACTAGTATACTATGCTCTCTCACCATTGTTTCCATATATACTTACGTATAATTGTCGAATAAGGATTTTCTACATCTAAAGACCATGGCACCAGTTATTTGCATGTGACCTAATAGTTATTAAAAAATTGAAAAAAGTTGAAACACCAATTAGGATGATATAAGTTTATGAAAAGCATGCAAGACTAAATTTGATTTACAATTAGAGAAATAAAAATAATAAAATCAGGCAATGAATATATAGCACATACCTATACATACAGATCAAATAACATTTGTTATTTTTGTTTCTTTATGTGTAGATCGAATTTAGACTTCCATGTTTGTTTAATATCTTATATTATCATAATCTATCTTGTCAAATTTTATATATTTTTATAAAACTATTTAATACATACATCTAAGTGCTATGTCATATAGGTTGAGAAAATACTTTCATATGACTGTCTTCCAAATATTTTTTTTCTACTAAGCTACTTATCTGTTTTTTTTATCTGACCACATCGTTGTATTCATTATAATTAAATTTACAACAAGAGATCGCATGATTATATTCTGATGAAAGAAAAACATACATTTCAATTAAAACTTAATGTTTCATATGTGATAGTAACATATTTCAACTTGTGTTTTCACTGTGTTTAAAAAAATGAAATGCTTCAATGCTTATTTCATTTATTTCTCCATGTATAATGTAATGTTTCACCAATGACTAGGAAAGTATGGGACATACCTGCCCTTACTCTCTCTACTATACCATATACTTGTTCTCTCTCCACTCTACCCATGTGCATGTAATGATCTTCAAAATATTTGTTTCTCGTAAACTACTTATCCAATATATGATTCGATCATAATGTTATATTCATTGTAATTAAACCCATATAACCATTAAAATACATTGTTTCATGGATGATACCGACATGTTTCAACGTGCATTTTCACCATGTTTCATAATTTGTTTTAAAATTTAACATGTTTTACTTGGTGGTCAACTTAAAACATATTTGACGATCTGAATTTTATTTTAAAATCGAACGTTCGATTTGTAGAGGTTCTATGTTTATTCCTAAAAATTGGCCTAATACTAATATCTCAGCTAAAACGAATTGACGGTCCTCTAAAAAGTACTAAAAGTTATCATAATTTTAAACGTTATGTTTCCTGTGAAATCATATGAACGAGTAATTAATTAATTGCCCGGCCCGCACAAACATCCGGCCCGTTCATGCTACAGTTTTTGCATGCTGCAATCGTTGTCACGCACGTCTAGATATAATGTCTTTGTTGAATTTCTTCTTTCTTCAAATCGTTGGAGATGCCGTACGTTGTGTCTGCTCGAACACATGCCTGGTCCATGCTGCTATATATATTTGACTAAATCGCTCAAGCTGAAAACATAATAATATACTGCACGCTGAACATAATGAAAAATTTATTCCATCTTCGTGTAATGAAAAGAAAAATTGTTTCATCAGTTCGTGTGAAAATACTAGCATAAAATTCATATGATATTTCTTGCATTAATTCCTGATTGATCGCACTGTCAAATTAACGCAACATTCTAGTTTTTTTTCGGGGTTCCAGAATGCACCAGACCACCTTCCCAAAGCCTGTAAAGGGAAGTGACTAGTAGTGAGTGTGTGTAATTGCGTTGAATCCACGAGAAAGGACAAAAATAAATTCCAATATCTACTTTTTCACTGCACGATGGAATTGAATTAACTCACGGCCACCTACTGCCCTTTCCTGGCTGTCCTACGTACATTTACTCGCATAATATATACTATTCCCTCTGTGTGAAAAAAAAAAGCACTTCTGGCGACATATGTATGTTTAATGAGTGGGTTTTTACAGAGAAAGTACTGTATATGGTAGAACATAAAGGTTACTTAGCTACTCCCTCCGTTCCAGAATATAAGAAGTTTTAGAGTTGAACACGGTTATTAAGAAAGTATGTAGGAGTGAATGGTAGAGGGTTGTGGTTGGATAAGTAGTGGAGGTAGGTGAAAAAGTGAATGGTAGAGGGTTGTGATTGGTTGGAAAGAGAATATTGGTGGAGAAGTTATATTTTAGGACAAATCCTGAGGGCTAAAAATTGTTGTATTTTGGGACGGAGGGAGTAGTAAATTTCTCTTCTAACAGTATTGAATTTTATAAAAAAAACATATTCTTATATGAAATTTGTAATGTATTAATTACTATAAAACGTGTTTCCTCTATCCGCAAATATAAGGGAGTTTGACCATTTTAATTTGCCCATAGAAATGATTTTAGAGTACTATTACATGTGTATATACTTGTATTGTTATTATGATTTTTTTTTATTTATTGTTTTATTGGTAGTTGCGTTATTACTTATTAGGTTAGATCATTTTCAAATAAGTATTTCTTAGAAGAACCAAAGTATTGTAGTAAGTATGTTTGTAAAAAGAGGGTTCACAATATTATGATAAACTTAATGCATGAGCTTTCAAAAACTTAAGTATATTTGTTTATATTATTTTTAAGAGTAAAGTATACAGGTGGTCCTTACTTGTAGGGTTGTGTTATCTACATCTCCAAATTTTGAAAATATATATCCAAGTTCTAGAACTTGTCAATGTGTGTTATTCCGGTTCCAAATTATCACGTCCTCTCCGGGATCCTACGTCGCACTGACGTGGTACACCACATGGATATTGACATGGCATCATCGTTGACTAATAAATGGAACCCCACTTAAAAATTTTCCTTTTTACTTTTTTTTCTTTTTTCTTCTCCTACTTCTCTATTTTTCCCTTTCTTCTCCTTCCCACTACAGGACCCACTTAAAAATTTTCTTTTTCTTTTCTTTTTTTTCTTCTCCTACTTCTTTATTTTCCCCTTTCTTCTCCTTCTTACTATAGTGCCTTACCAGTAGGAGAAGGGGAAGGGGGACGTTGATGACAACCCGGTGTAGCTAGCCAAAGCGGTGGAGGACACGGGGAAGGAGAAGGGCCTCGATGACGGCAGCCTGAGTGTAGTTAGCCGACATGGCGGGGGAGATGGGAGAAAAGGGAGGGCATCGACAACAGTGGCCCAGGCGGAGCTAGCTGACGTGATAGAGATGGGGAAAGGGAGAGGGCCTTGATGATGGTGGCCCGAGTGGAGCTAGCTAGCACAGTGGAGGAGATTAGGGGAAGGTTTAGGGCCTCGACGGCGGCGGCCTAGGTGTAGCTAGCCGATGTGACAAAGGAGATGAGGGAGGATGGGGAGGGCCTCGACAATGATGGCCTGGTCCTCACCCCTCTCCTTTGCCTGACCTCTTCCTTGATGCTGCTATCTTCCAAGAGGTTGGGTGCCGCTACCTCCCTCATTGAACTCATCGAGCTCAAGCTCCCAAATGACTGTCCCCTCCTCCATCACTATCATCGCCTTCTCTAGGCCAAGGCTCGTTTGATGCTAGACTCATCGAGCTCGAGCTCAATGGGGAAGGACCGGGGACGAGCACATGGTGGGGATGGACCTAGCTAGGATGAGCCCCTGGATTCGGTCTTCAACTTCCACCACTTGCCTTAACACAGTCATTCCGAGCTCGAGACCTTCCACCCGGATCCAATAGCGCGCAATGACGAGCTCCCTTCAGTCTCTTCGTGCAAGTGAGCAAGCTTGAGTTCTGTTTTGTGGTCTCTCTACACCGTCGACGTTGCCCCTAGTTGTTGTCAATCAAGCTCATCCTCAGCAACCACCCTCGAGCTCTCTCCCCAGCCTCTCTGTATTCGAAGGAAGAAGAAAAGAAAAGAAAATAAAGGATTGGTGAATATGCCACTTCAACGGAGCTGTGACAATTTAGGACCAGAAATATAAGTACTTTGACAAGTCATGGGACTTGGATTTGCATTGTAAGAGTTTGCGGGAACCTAGATGGCACACCCCTATAAGATTAAAAATCATCTGTGTACTTTACTTATATTTGAATAATACTTATGTACGACTATAGGATCAGAATGATACGATTTGATTTACGGGATCCAATATGAAACTATTACTTAGTATCATAGTGCTATAAGGTTTTATACTATATGACGGATCAATATCGTTTTGGTTCAGTAGGATTGGAACATCAGCCATATTCACTTTATTGCCACTTTCAACCCTACCAAATTTTGGTAGGTTAACAAACTAAATATGATATTATCAATGTGTGTCCTATCAAAATTTGATAGTTTCGGAACTTTCCTCTCATAAAAACACTACCAAATTTTGGAAAAGCATCAAACTAAATACATCATATCCAATGCAATGCTATTAAAATTTAGCAACACCAAAATTTAGCATATATTGCTAAATTTTGATCTATTGCTAAATTTTGATAAGATCAAAATTGACAACAAAGTGAACAAGTCCATTTTGATCAACTTGTAACACGTGTGCACATGTCCCAAAAAAACCACGTACGCTCATGTGTACTTGTGTAGTATAGACTATACATATCAGTACAGGGTGAATCCAGCGTGGGTGCTAGGGGATTCAAGTCCCCTACCCCGCTGGATCACCATTGAGAGAAGGAAGAGGGGACGGGAAAGAATCAAAGAAGAGGAAGGGAAGAAGGAGAGATAAGATAAGAGCCATCCATCATTTTTCTAGAACTGCCCATTTACATAGTATCTCCATTTTGATTTACAAGTCTTTTGACTATTTTCTTAGTTATTTTTTTTAAAAAAATTGATCAAGTTTATAGGAAAATATAGTCAAATTGTCAATACAAAACAAACATTGTATCAAAATATATTCGATGTTAAATTTAATGAAACTAATTCCGTGTTATAGATGTTGCTATTTTTTTATAAACTTGATCAAACTAAAAATACTTTGGCAAAGAAATGAGTCAAACGACTTGTAATATGAAACGAAGAGAGTACCGTATACTGCCACGTTGGATGTACATGCGTGCATTCAGTTAATGCATTCGCTGGTTGATAGCTGCTTCTCACTAAGCTCCCCCTCTCCCCTCTAAACCCTATAAAATCCACCCTCTCGCCATTGCTCCCATACCTTCCTCCTCCTCCTCCTCCTCTTCTTCTTCCTTTGCTTCCATTGAAGACTAGAGAAGAGAGAGGAGGTGAGAGGTGAACTGGTGATAACAATGGACAGGGAGCTGGTGAGGACGGTGAAGCTGGCGACCAAGAACCACGCCGGCGTGCTGTTCCGCCGCGCCGTGCGCCACCTCCCCCACATCGTGGCGGTGACGGCGCTGGTGGCGGCGGCGCCGCGGCTGTCGACGCTGCTGGCGGCGGCGGCGGCCGGCGGAAGCACCATGCGCTGGGCGCGCGCGCTGTGGTCCGACCTCGCCGGCGAGCTGGGCCCGAGCGCGCCGGCGCTGGCGGTGGCGTGCTGGGCGGCGGCGCTGGCGGCGTACACCTACGCCGCGTCCCGCCCGCGCCCCGTCTACCTCATCGACCTCGCCGGCTACAAGGCGCCGCGGGAGCACGAGGCGTCGCGCGCCAAGACGATCGCCCACTTCGGGCGGTGCGGGCGGTTCAGCGGCGAGAGCATGGCGTTCCAGAAGCGGATGCTGGAGCGGTCGGGGCTCGGGGAGGCGACCCACTTCCCGACGTCGCTGATCAGCCTCCCCGTGGACATGTGCCTCCGCACGGCGAGGGAGGAGTCGCACGCCGTCATCTTCGGCGTCGTCGACGAGGTGCTCCGCAAGTCCGGCGTCGCGGCGGCCGACGTCGGCGTGCTCATCTTCAACTCCAGCCTCCTCTCCCCGACGCCCTCCTTCACCTCGCTCATCGTCAACCGCTACGGGATGCGCCCCGGCGTCGTCTCCCACAACCTCAGCGGCATGGGATGCAGCGCCGGCATCATCGCCATTGATCTCGCCAAGCGCCTCCTCCAGGTACACACCATCGATGATACTACTGTACTGTACTGCATCCTCTGGAGTCGGTCTGCACCGCGCCTGTCACTGACACATGGTCCAAAGATCATCGGGCCCACATGTTAGTGACAGAAGCACCGTGCATACAAGTAGGTTCTCAATATCTATTAATGCATGGCTCATGCAATGCAATGCAATTGCATATGCACGAATACCGAGGCAGTTAATGCGTTGAGATACGGATGGATGGAATATTAAATGATGGGAGAGGAGAATCTTGGCATGCATGCGAGAGACTGACCCCACCACAAACACTTCACAATAGTGATCAATTGAAATGACAATAGTCATAACTCACTCATAAGTAGGAGTAACATGCTTATTTGCATATCAGTTTCTCCTCCCCTAATATACGTCTCTCTACTCCTAAGTAAAAGCATTTGTGACTATAAATCTCGGCAATTGATCTTTTGGAAACAAGAGACTAGATCTATATATGTAGCCATTTCAGTACCATAGAAAGAACCAAAGTACTTTCACAACGAATAAATTGCAACAAAAATCCGATGGTAATATTATGATATATGCAAGATAGATACATACACAGGTTTGTGTTAATGGTAAAATTATCAAAGATAAACTGTATGAGCTTATGGCCAGAGTAGCTAGTTTGATTTATTCCTGAGAATAAAATATGCATGCGACGTTGTGAGCGATCATTATTCAGGTATTTAACATCTAAATGCTTGTGTAGACTACATGTTTAGTACGTAATAGTGTTGTAGTAGTAGCTGACAAGTGAATGCTATATGCCAAGACCATCTGACCATGAGATGCCAGACAAGAACTGCATTGAGTAGGACCTCAGTGTTTCAGCCTGCAGGGAGCAGACTATCTTAATGTCTTAAATAACATGCTCAGTCATGCATGTTGCAAAATTTACTCCTAGAGCAGACTGCTTACTGGCACAGCTTAGTGATCTCCTTTTTTTCCCCCTTGTGATGCAGATATGCAGTAGCATGATGTTCTCTTAATGCTTTTACCTCTTGAAGTCATATTGAATTTACTTGTTTGCGAATCTGGATATACTTTCACAAATTGAGAGTAGTAATATCTTTATCTTTGGAAACTGGAACAATATATTATTTGGCCATATGTGAAATAATTGAATGCCTCTGTTTTTAGAAGCAAGAGGAAAATGAAATGTAATTAATAATATTTACTACAACATTTTGTGCAGGCTAGATTGTAGGAATTTACTAAGTTAAAGCTCTTCAAAATGCTGAGGACTAGTTGAAACTTGCCAACATAACTGAGCCTTCTCCAAGAACTACCTATACTAAACAACAATGATAGATTCAAATCTTACTTTTCTCAAACTAATTAAAGGCCTCCCCATCAGACTACCAGGCATTAATTGTAAAACCTTTTGTGAAAGTCAATTTGCAACTTAAGTGCACATGCACTCATCTATTGCATATACCATCAAAAATATCATGAAAATGTCACTCAATTAATTAGTTCTGCATACCATTTCTTTGAAAGATACTAGCTAGTATATACCAAATGCAGATCAAAAAAGGATAAAGCTCTCCTTGACACTGACAAAGCATCGCATGTAGGAGTAGTGTCTTATCATGGACTCATCGATTTATCATGACAAGTACTAGACATGAGTGCCCCATGATATATACATACTACACACTATCTGACCGGTGAAGAACTACTCCGTCTCTGACCCAGCAGAGATGTAAATGTGGTTTGGTGGAGGTTCAGATATACCAGTAGTAGAGTAGTTATTTTACCTCCCATATTCCAAGCTGTATTTTTGGCAGCAGTAACTACTCCACAAATGCAACATGTACTGTATACAAGACTTGGCAGTGCTTACTTTTTTGGAAATAGCATCTGCAAGGTAAAAAGGACAAAAAAAAATCAGCATAGAATGTGTCGAATTGTGTAATTCGTCTCACTACATGCACAGTCAAAAATGGAACATACATAGTTCTTTTTATGTATTTGACAATAAAATCTATTTAGTGACCAAATACCATATTCTTGCTGACTGTCAAAACACCAAAAAGTTCTTTTTTCTTTTTGTGATTAGTACAGAGCTACATTTATGCAGGCAGCTAGGCTAACTAGGAAAGTTTCAATGTCCCAATATGCATTTAACCAATGTGCAAGAACACACACGCACTTAATATATGGTTATGGAGCGCCGTGAATGGGCACATGGAGTGCACAACAAAACGCAATAAATTTCAGCATTTGTTCTGCTCTGTACAGTACCACTATACTGTTCATGTCCAACTGTGCGTGCCAGTATGTCTATGCTAAATTGCTAAGTCAAAAAAAATACATTTGAGAGAGAAATGATGGGTACCTGTACCTTAGGGCCTGTTTGGCACAGCTCCAGCTCCAGCTCCACCCCTCCTGGAGCTGGAGCTCAGCCAAACAGTTTCAGCTCCACCAAAACTGAGAGTGGAGTTGGGTGGAGCTCTCTCACAAAATGTACTAGAGTTGTGGAGCTGGGTTTAGGCAGCTCCACAACTCCACTCCAGACTCAACTCCTGGAGTTATATTTAGGAGTTGGAGCTGTACCAAACAGGCCCTTAATCGATCTGTCGATCGCCATATGCGCATGAGTAAGCATATTCATGGAGGTCCAGCTCATTCTCCATGTGTGGTCCTAGAGATGACCAAGGGAAAAAATATTAATTCACAATTCATTGAGTTGCTAATATTCGCTGAATTTATACAGAGATATAGCTAGCCCCTGCTAATCGTAAATTATTTTCTGAAATATTAGTATCAATTCTGCTAAGTTTTAACTAATTTGTGAAATACCATTACTTGTTTAGTCAGTTTGTTGATGCATCGGAGTGTGCGTGGTTTAATTAGACAAAATATTCTCACAAATATTTCATGGAGTTGCTGAGCAAATGAGCTTAATTAGACAGAATTAGATAGAGAGACATATAACTTCTGCTAATCATCTTCTACTCCCTCCGCCCCAAATTAGTTGTCTCTTTAGGATTCAAATATTATCCTAAAATAGTTGTCACTATAGGGTACTATTTGTCACATCAATCACTTCTAATTCAAAATTTTCTTTTTTCTACCCTCAACTATCCTCCCACATCCAACCATCATTCTTTTTCATCAAACCTTAATCCATGTTAAACAATCTAGAATGACAATTAATATGGGATGGAGGTAGTACCTATCAGTGGAAATGTATGTAGTACGTTCTCTTAATTACACAGAATTATATAACTGCATCGCATCGCATGCAGGTGCACGAGAACACGTACGCGCTGGTGGTGAGCACGGAGAACATCACCCTGAACGCGTACATGGGCAACAACCGGCCGATGCTGGTGACCAACACCCTGTTCCGCGTCGGCGGCGCGGCGATCCTCCTCTCCAACCGCGCCGCCGACCGCCGCGGCCGCGCCAAGTACCAGCTGATCCACACGGTGCGCACCCACCGCGGCGCCCACGACCAGAGCTTCGGGTGCGTGACCCAGGAGGAGGACGACGCCGGCGAGGTCGGCGTCTCCCTCTCCAAGGAGCTCATGGTGGTCGCCGGCGAGGCCCTCAAGACCAACATCACAACCCTCGGCCCCCTCGTCCTCCCCATCTCCGAGCAGCTCCGCTTCCTCGCCACCGTCGTCCTCAAGCGCGTCTTCCGCGCCGACGTCAAGGCCTACCTCCCGGACTTCAAGCTCGCCCTCGACCACTTCTGCATCCACGCGGGGGGCCGCGGCGTCCTCGACGAGCTCGAGAAGAGCCTCAAGCTCTCGCCGTGGGACATGGAGCCGTCGCGGATGACGCTCTACCGCTTCGGCAACACGTCCAGCAGCTCGCTGTGGTACGAGCTCGCCTACTGCGAGGCCAAGGGGAGGATCAAGCGCGGCGACCGGGTGTGGCAGATCGCCTTCGGCTCCGGGTTCAAGTGCAACAGCGCCGTGTGGAGGGCGCTGCGCACCGTCGACGCCGCGGGCCTCGACGCCGGCGACAACCCGTGGATGAAGGAGGTGGACATGCTCCCCGTCGACGTGCCCAAGGTGGCGCCCATCGATGAGACCTCCTACCAGATCCCAAACTAATAAGGGGATATATGAGGCTATATAGCTATTATAATTTATAAGTAGTAGACTTCTTGTTCTGTCGATCGATATGATGATCTCAAGAATATGGAGCCATTGCTAGGCTGCTTATGTATGATGATGATGATGATAGGCCTTTATTATTAGGGCTTAATTTGGCTATTAATCAATCATTGTGTTTGTGTGTGTCCTGATTAATTCTATGGACTTGCAAGAAATCCTGGTGGGATCTTGATCTCCATGGTGTTGTTGGATGCCCTGGATATGGAGGTTGATCACCCTAGATCAGTGGGAGAACATGCATCAATCTGATCCTCCACATTGTACTGTGATGAGGCCATGGAAAAAAGGTAATACAACTTGGGTTTGGCTTAGACTTTTATTAGAAGAGGTGTTGGATCATTAGCTTAATGTGCATTGACCATAGGAAATGGACAAACTAACGAACTTACAAGGACAGAACAGACTGTCAACAATGGTGTGAAGAAGAAGCTACATACTCATAGTACATATATATCACCACATCCACAGAACTGACAGAAGACATGTTACTAGGGTAGGTTATCTAGACAAACTAATCAAGGTCCGCATGCTCCACCAGCAAGCAATTAAAATTAACACACAGATCATCACCAGACACAAATTCAACAAAACAGGAACAATCCAATAATGACATACACAACATAAGCATGTCTGTACGTATAACACGGTTGGGGTTTTATCTTAAATTCCAGCTGGAATGATGCACGGCTAGATATATACTAGATGCTAATTCAAATTCGTATTTCAAATTTGAGTTGCTTATTTTCATAGTACAGCTCTTGTGATCTTTGTTTAAAAATGTGAAACAATAATGCAGCAAACAAAACTAGCTACTAGCTAGTAACTGATGGTGGCATTAGCCAGAAGTGCTTGCGATTCTGTCTCATACTTGAACCCTTGGCTCCTGGAATGATCAGCAGCCCAGATGAAGATGCCGTACAGCTTCCCCTCCTTCTGCAGAGTCCGGCAAGCGCTCAGCGCCGTCTCGACGGGCACCGAGGTCGTCGTCGCCGCCGTCGTGAAGCTCGCAAGGATGTTCCCTCCGGGGTAGTTGACGATCTGCTGGTTGAAGAAGTCGACGTACTGCGCCTCCGTCGTGCTGGCGCCGTAGGCGTAGAACTGGAAGTTGATGTAGTCGATCACGGCGCCGTACTTGGCCCACAGCGCCATGTAATGGCGCTGGACCTCGGCGTTGCCGAAGGGCGCGATGGAGGCGAACTTGATCACCCCCTTGGCCTTGAGCACCGTGATGAGGCGGCCGACGCACTCGGTGAAGGTGTCCGGGTCGACCTGGAACTGCTCGTAGTCGATGTCGATGCCGTCCAGGTTGTTGTCCTGGATGATGCCGGTGAGGGACTCGACAGCGTTGTTTACCCACGAGTCGACGGAGGTGATGTTGAAGAAGACCGGGCGGTCGTTCACGGTGGCGCCGCCCATGCTGACGGCCACCCTCACGTTGGGGTTGCTCTGCTTGATCGACGCGACGGCCGACGGGGTGAGCACCGTGTTCTGCCAGAAGATGTTGAACTTGCCGTTGGTCGGGGTCGGCGGGTTCGTCTCGGTGGTGTAGTCGATGATGAAGGCGAGGATGAAGTCGAACCGGACTTTCGGATTGATTGGCACGTCGGTGAACTTCACGCCGTTGAAGATGGCGCCGATGTAGTCCCGGAAGAGGTTGGAGTTTACTGCCGTGGCCATTGGAGCTTGGAAGGCCAGAAGGGCCGGGAGGAGGACTACAGCAATGAGCTTGGCGGAGCCCATTGGTGACTTCTGTGATGGAGAAATTGCTTGCAATTGATTGGTTGAGGACGCTGCTGCAATCTTCAGAAGAACGCTGAATTTATAACTTGTTTTGTGGCTCACAAATCAACCACCAAGATTTTGTCAAATGAAAAATTAAATGGTGCTGAAGAAACAGAGCCTTCTGAATGGACTGCTCAACCAAGGTTTGAATGTAGGAGATAAGGTCAAAATTTTCAACTGATTCGATTGGATGAGGTTGGAAGGGTTCCTCAATGGCTGACTCTTATTTGATTTGCCATGCAGGATAATCTTTAAGATGTGAAGAGAGAATATGTGACTAAAAAAATTCACAATATTCTGATTATTAGGTACACTTCTGTCTTACTCTTCCAACTAACTATATCAAAGAAAAGTCCCAACTTTTGAAATCCACAAACTGAAGTAAACCTTACAGGGACAGCTTCCAGAAGATCCAAAGCAGGGCTAGTACAGAGGCCAAACTGGTTGACTGCAAAGGTCAACTACACTGTCTCATTTGGATTTTGGCATGACTGACAGGAGAAAAAAAACATTATTCTTTTTCAAATTTTCTTTTTGAAATACTTTTCTTCTTGGATCTATTTCAGTAGTTTGTGAATAGTGGGGCTAATCTTTCACTTTCTTTCTCTCTTGCTACAGTGACAGGAGAAAAGGAAAGAACAGCTGCTAAATTGGGCTGTTTCTTCTGTGAACAACCCTGAACTAAGATATAAGGAGTAGGTCAGAAAGTTAGGCCTGCTATCTGATAGATATTCTGTTCTGATACTAACAATTTTGACTTAAAAAGATGAGATACCGATATGTTGGAAAGGATATGCGGACATCTTTTTCTCATAAATAATACATGTTCTGTAAAGGTTTGAGATACACATTAATTGGAACTGCATGTAGCAGGCTAGCAGAGCAATAGCACTTGCCTGTGAAGCATCGTCCTCATGGTTGCTCTCACTAAATTAAGAGCAGATTCATTGTGAAAATTGATTTGTAGTGTCGTAGTTGTCATCATAAGCCAATGATACTTCCACCAACCCTCCCACTAGCACCACATTTTTTGGCGGGGATTAAGGCCCATGATCGTTGCATGTGGCAAGTCAGTGAGATTGAATAACAAAGTAGCAGATCTTCTTCACTACATCTGCACATGATGGAAGAACAAGTCAGTGACAGATCATTGTGCTGTTTTTAGAAAATAGCATTTCAATAAGCAATGAAGAATGAACATAACATCTACCGGCATCAAGGTAATGCCTCTACAAGGCAGATATTACGTTTGCATTGACCTATTACATGCAAAGATAAGACACGAGCGACACTAGAGAGTGCGATATCAGAACTTAACAACTCCTTTGGTTGTAACCAGTGATATCGTTTTACTTATCACCAGTAGTGTTTGCATTAGCATCCTGTAACAATTAGTTCAAAATGCTAAATATGTTGCAGTAGGCATGGGGTTCTGTCTGATATTCATATATGAAGTGGTCATTTTGTCAACTTTGATATCACTTAAATTTGATACTAGTATTTTCTACATAAATGGTCTTTTAAAGGAAACCAATCAGCCATCATGCAGCATATTCATACTGGTTAATTAGTCTTTTTAAATTCGTTTATACAATAAAGATGAGAAATAAGCTCCCATACACCAAATGAGAAACTTATCTGCAAAGTTCCCAAACTAGAAAGCCAGATATCTCACAGCATTGGAACCTCAACTATAACAGAAAATAACAACCCGGTGGATTATTTGATCAGGCATCTCTTGAGTTTGGAGAACATTCAACTGTTAACAGTTCACACGGTGCAATCTTTCAACTGAACACGTGTCTTCATTTGTGAATTCGTTCTTGTCTTTACTTGTGGATTTATTCATGTAGTTGGACATTGCCTAACAATTCAGCTCCTTGTCCATATATACCAGAAAACAACACATAATACACATGGAGACAATGGACAACAACAGCAAGCACAAAAGTTTTGATTTTTTTTTATGCGTCGGGTCAGCAAGCATGCGGAGTGGAACTGCTCAATAATCAATCTAAGAGATAAAAAGAAAAACACACAGAGACTGCTCTTCCAAGTTGCTGTGTGCCTTCAGCATTTCTGCAGTTGCAGCCCATGAAAATTCCTAAAGATATCATCTATGGAACAGATGACAGTCTGACTTTCAGTCCCAATATTGCAATTTTCTGGCAACAAATAGTACTAAATTTCGTGATAAACTGAGTATCCGAGTACTGAAATTAAACATGAACGAAGGAATGGAACGCACTAATTTTCGAGTGAACTCAAAGATCCCCCAGAAAGACTGAATCAACTCCCCCCCCCCATACTTTCCCCCAAAAAAACTTCTCACATCTTTGAAATCATGCCGCGGTGATCAAATTCGAAGGGAAGACGGATCTTTCCTCCCAATCTTTGCACATCTGGACAAGAACAGATGCATTCCCGGGGTATAATTTGAGCAGAATGGATTAGAGAGAAGAAATCGTTACCAAATTCCTCCTCCTCCTCCTCCTCCTCCTCCTTGTCCTGCCGCCGCCGCAAGCGGAGGCTTCAACCGCAATTAGCATTCTGCTTCCCGCTTTCTTTCTCCGTTGGCGTAAAAGAGGATGTCTTTGGCTCGACGAGAACACCCACTGACAAAAGGGCCCACATAACCCGAAGCTATCGCCAGCCAGTGATATGGTCCAACAGCGAGCGAGACACCGGCAAACGGCCCAACGGGCCACCAATGTTATGGCCCACTAACTAAAGCGGCCTACTAAAGGCCCATAAGGTGGCCCACAGAAGAACTGGCCCACTAAGGTTGCTCCACGAAGACGAAAATTGCAGCCCGCTGAATCTCTGCAAAAGCCCAACGTGAAGTTCATTTATGGGCTGAATTATTCCACGGATAAAGATGGGCCAATTTTAATTTATAGGCCGAATTCAATCCAGGAAAAGAGGTGGGCCAAATTTAATTTATGAACAGAGCTCATTCATGGGCCAGCTTCTATTATAGGCCGAATTCGTTCATGGAAAAATCTGGGCCAAATTGATTTATGGTCTGAATTCACTGATGGAAAATTGTTGGGCTGCTTTATTTTATGGGCTGAATTCTTTCACGGATTAAGCTGGGCCAATTTTATTTACGGGCTGAATTCATCCACGTAATGAGGTGGGCCAATTTGATTAACAGGCTGAATTCGTTCGAGAGATTTGATAATTTGACACTCCTTAAATTATTTCACATCCTGAGTTCCTGACCAATTTCATTCACTCACACGATCCACATGTTCACAAAACGATTTAGGCCGAAAAGAAGTGGGCTTAATTTATCTATGTATGGGCTGAATTCATCCATAGAAAATAAGTGGGCCGAATTTGATTATGGGCTGAATTCATCCACGGAAAAAAATCGGCCCGTAAAGAAAATCCTACTCGCCCTCTCCCATCTTCCTCGCTCCCGGTTCGAACCCCGTGCCGCGTCGGAAGCTTCTGGATCCCAGATCTCGGCCAAAAACCCTAACCCTCTCGAAGCTTCTAGAATCACGCCCCCTCCCCCCTCCCCCCTCCCCTCCCCATGGACGGGCTCGCGGCGCCCTCGCCGTCCCACTCCGGCGCGACGTCCGGCGGCGGCGCCTCCCACCGCAAGCGGAAGCTCCCGCCGTCGTCCCTCTCCGACGCCACCGCCGACGAGGACGACGACACCACCGCGCCGTCGTCGCCGTCCACCTCCCCGTCGTCGCCCTCACGCCCGTCCTCCCCGTCCTCCTCCCACTCCGACGATGACGACGACGACTCCCTCCACACCTTCACCGCCGCCCGCCTCGACGGCGCGCCCCCGTCCTCATCCGGCCGCCCGCCGAAGCCCGAGTCCTCGACCGTGTCTGCCGCCGCCGCGGCCGCGGCTGCAGCGGCCGCTCCCAAGCCCGATTCCGCTTCCGCTGCCGCCGGCGACGGCAAGGAGGACCCGAAGGGGTTGTTCACTGACAACATTCAGACCAGTGGCGCGTATAGCGCTCGAGAGGAGGGCCTCAAGCGTGAGGTGAAGTATTTGGTTTGCACTGTTTCGATTTGATAGGCCGTTTGTAGGGTTTAGACATCGGAGCAGTCAAATTGGAGTAGCATTTCGTACTGTTTCTTGAATTTTAGAATGTGACTTCTGCTAAAATTGGTGGATTGTTCTGCAGGAAGAAGCAGGGAGGCTGAAATTTCTATGCTATTCTAATGATGGAGTTGATGAACATATGATTTGGTTTGTATGCTAAAATTATTGTTCCAAACAACCTCAGATTTGTTAGTGACTGATGTTTTTCCCCAGGTTGGTAGGCTTGAAGAATATCTTTGCTCGGCAGCTTCCTAACATGCCCAAAGAGTACATTGTCCGTCTTGTTATGGATAGGTAATTCTCAGTGTAATGTGCCTACTACGTATTTTGGAAGCAGAGGACAAGAATATCTCTCTTCGTTAGTGCTTATAAAAGAAATTATTGTGATGTGTCTTGCAGAACTCACAAATCAATGATGGTTATCAGGAATAATATTGTTGTAGGAGGCATTACTTACCGGCCTTATACAAGGTAATATTTCCACCTTGGTGCTAGAACTTGTATGATGTATTGACATCTGTTATATGTATTTGCACTTGCATGAATGATCAAGTTGTGGTACTTTTTTGTTTAGATATCTGATAGTTATTGATAATGAAATCTAATGGAAGCTATGAGCTGTTCTTTTAAGTTTTTGTAGCTAACGTTGATTTTTGATAATGAGATTGTGTTATAGGATTCTACTATTTATTGTTCAGTGATCTCAAAGCAGTAAAGGTTATGTTGTAGGACAGCATGCACACTTCTGTTTGTCTGGCAATTGATTATTTCTGTTGCGTCATGCCATGCACCATGCCAGAGATGTTCCTTTTCTGCTGCAGCATAAGTTTCTGTCCTAATATAGGTTTTGAAATTGTAGCCAGAAGTTTGGAGAAATAGCATTTTGTGCAATTACAGCTGATGAGCAAGTTAAAGGCTATGGGACACGGTTAATGAATCACCTGAAGCAACATGCCCGAGATGCTGATGGGCTCACTCATTTCTTAACTTATGCAGATAACAATGCCGTTGGCTATTTTGTAAAGCAGGTTTGACTATTTGACTGAACTCTTTTATATGCTTTCTTTCTTAAAATTTCATTGTTTTGTGATTGTTCTCAAGTGGCAGCTACGAAATACACTTGAACCTAACGAAATAGTGACTTCATAGAATTAGCGACAAAAAGAATGTTTCAATGCATGGTTTATAAAGTTATTTCTAAACATGTTGTGTCCAACATTGTCTAGCAGTCTTTGTAAGATTGTATCAGGTGACTAACTTTGAATCTTTAATAGTTCAACTTATCTCCTAAGTCCTACAGTTTTGTTTCAGCTATAAATTAGTTCCCTTAGGCATATGTTCAGCAACAGTTTCTGTACTTAGTAGTTTCTTGATCATAAGAATTCTTGACGATTTAAACAAAAGAGATCAATTAGCATATGTCTTGCAAACAATAATTTGGTTTATTTTATTGTCCTTTGCTGCTGGCAATTTGTAGGGTTTCACAAAGGAGATCACATTGGACAAAGAAAGATGGCAAGGGTAAGCAATTTATTGTCAATTATATTGTTTTATCATTTCCTTGAAGTATAAAGTGAGTCAGTAACTCCTAATAAAAGTGTAACAATGATAACACTACTTGTTGTCTGAGAGTATTATTGTACTAGGCTACAGCAGGTTTTTATCTGTTGAACTCAATAGTTGCTGATTCCAGGTACATTAAAGACTATGATGGAGGAATATTGATGGAGTGCAGAATTGATCAAAAGTTGCCATATGTTGATCTGGCAACGATGATTAGGCGTCAAAGACAGGTGACATAAAAGGCTAATTGCTGCTTAAACATAAACTGGAAGCAATATTACTCCTTTTCAGCTGTCCTGACTCCTGAGCACTTGATAACTTTATGTGCAAATCATTAGTCAACTGGGATATTCATATCATTATAAGCCAATTGAAGTTTTCTTTTTGTTTTGGCAACTGACTGTATTTTGACTGAACAGGCAATTGATGAGAAAATCAGAGAGCTTTCAAACTGCCATATTGTTTATTCTGGAATTGACTTCCAAAAGGTTAGTTGTTCCTTCTTATTTTGGAATCTATTTCTGTCAAATATTATCAGTTTGATATGTGCAATAGATGAACCTGCTGTTGGAGAAAAAACTGCTAGTCTTAGGTAAAAAAGGATTGTTTTAGTTGATATCCTTGTCAAACATGCCTTGTCTCTATTATATGTTAGACTTCAATTCAATTTTGTGCCAATGAATCCATTGCAAAAAGTTTTGGTGTGTCACTTGCACATTTTATTTCTCAAAAATGGAATAACTAATCATGTTAGTAAAATTTGAGGCACACCTTGGTATGATTAACGAGGAATCCATCCAGTGTGCATCTTGTTAGGTAATGGCATCATCTAGGGAAATAAAGGAATTTTTTTAAAAAATTTTACTGGCAACCAGTGCCCGTCACATTTATCTTGTTCATTTTGGGTTTGTACTAGATAGGACAGAAACAAATGGACTATAACTGGTGTAAGTCACATATAATGTATTTTGCATTGTTGTTTCTGACCCTGCTGTACACAATCTTGGTTAACCTTATCGATCAAAACATGGCATTTAACAGGTTTATTCCTGTTATTCTCTTTTTTTATTTGTAGAAAGAAGCTGGTATTCCAAGAAGAACGATGAAACCAGAAGACATCCAAGGCTTGAGTAAGTAAAACACTTCTATATTAACATAAGTTTGGTTATCTTCAATGCTGTTCGCACAGTTCTCTCTTTCTAAATTCTTGAGCCATCTGCTCCAGCTGATCTCATTGAAAGGCGTTGCATTTGCATTAGTGGTAGTTTGTTTTGAAAACACACAGATAACAACCGAATGTGCTAGTAGATGATTGGTTACACTGGACATTCTTTATGGACATGGACAGATGCGTGAGAAGTATGACACGTAGGGCCATGCATGCCATCCAAATATTCTATCAAATTTGTCATCATCCCCCATTCAGGTCCTATTTGGCAGGGCTCTTAACTCCTAAATCTAACTCTAGGAGCAGTGTGTGGAGTGGAGCTGTGGAGTGGCCTGAACCCCGCTCCACCCCTTTACTTCATTTTTTTCAGATCACTCCAGCCCGCTCTGCTCCCTTTTTGGGTGGAGCTGAAACCGTTTGGTTGAGCTCTAGCTCCAGTAGAGGTGGAGCTGGAGCTGTAGCCCTGCCAAACAGGGCCTCAGTCAGGATGCAAGGAGTTGTCCAGAGTGTGATACCATGCATTCTGACATTCATGAGTTCAGTGCACTGCTATCCCATTGGAGTGCTGCGGACTGCGGTGCTGCCTCTCAGCTATCGATGATGATTGCTTCTACCGCATTCCTGTCCTCTCCCAAGGATGTTTTCCTTAGAGCCAATTGTAGAAATGATCATATGGCAACTGGAGATTGTTAAATATACAGAACAGAATTCTAAAATAAGATGTTCATCCATCTGTCTTATTCGACCATATTTGTTTTGCCGCCTTGTTAGGTTTACTGGTTTAGCTATGATGCAAGCCTGATCAGAACAATCAATGTGATGCAGGGGAAGCTGGGTGGACGCCAGATCAGTGGGGGCATTCCAAATCAAGATCAGCCTTTTCTCCTGATTACAGTACTTACAGGCAACAACTTACTAATCTAATGCGTTCATTGTTGAAGGCAAGTCTTTTATCTTCGCAAATCTTTTTATATGACATGCAACCATTTGGTTTGACCTCACTGGATAAACCTGTACTTTGCTTGCTCCCTTTTGAATTTTTTGCACCCTTTCTGTTTCAAGCATATTTTCTAAAGCCAGACCAGCTGGATGGTCTGTTCAATGGTTCAATGATTGAAATGGCCACATTTTATAAGTTTAATATTCAAATATTTCTGGTATACTTCACTGTGAACTCTACTTCATATGGTCAGACATTAGTCATATTTATCCTTTGAAACGTTAAGCTGATTGTCAGGTGAGCCACTAGTGATTCTCAACCATCAGTCCAGTGTGGTTTAGAAATTAGGCAAAACTGGCTACACCAATGTAACACTAAGGATCCATGTCATTACTCAAAACACACCTTAAAGTCATGTGCATATGCTACTATGCTAATGGATTGCAATGGCCACCAGCAAACAAAACTATGGGCAAACAGACCTGATCTTTTAGTGTGTATCGGCAACAAAAGAGTATCTGCCAGCAGATATAGCTAATTTTGTTTTGTGATTGGGAGTTAACATGACAACCAAGTACAGTGCTCTATAGACAATTTTTTCAAAGGATTATGTTCCAAAGATGTTGTAGATCTGCAATGACCTGATGTGTTGGATCTACTGTTGTCTTACGAAAGATACTTCATACTTTTATCAATTCTGATATAAGAGCTTTGTCTTGTAGAATATGAATGAGCATCCTGATGCTTGGCCATTCAAAGAGCCAGTGGATTCACGTGATGTTCCTGACTATTATGACATTATCAAAGATCCTATTGGTATGCTGGAATGATTTAGGGGATTATTTTCCCTTCTTTTCCCAGCTTGGCGAAGCTATGTTTTGTGCCATCTAAGCTATTCAGTTTCTGAACACTAAGCTTGTCTGCAGATTTGAAGACAATGTCAAAAAGAGTTGAGTCTGAGCAGTATTATGTGACGCTAGAGATGTTTGTAGCTGACATGAAGAGAATGTTCAGCAATGCAAAAACTTATAACTCTCCCGATACAATCTATTACAAGTGTGCCTCACGGTGAGCAATGAACTTCAATCTTGTGTTTGCATATTCATCTACCTGTAAGTCAGGCATCTGTCAATGTTTCTTTGAAAATATTTAGCCTAACCATTAATAGAAACGTGGGTGGTTACATCTCATGTTGGATTTATGTGCACTCAATAATGTCTTTCTATCATAACCAGTAGAAGATTCACCTTGGGGGAAATCTGGCATTAATTATTTATCGTCCGTGTTTGAAACGTAGGCCTTATTTAGTTCCCAATTTTTTTTCCCAAAAACATCACATCAAATCTTTGGATACATGCATGGAGCATTAAATATAGATAAACAAAAAAACTAATTGCACAGTTTGCATGGAAATTGCGAGACGAATCTTTTGAGCCTAATTAGTCCATGATTAGCCATAAGTGCTACAGTAACCCACATGTGCTAATGATGGATTAATTAGGCTTAATAAATTCGTCTCGCTGTTTCCTATCGAGTTATGAAATTAGCTTTTTTCATTCGTGTCCGGAAACCCCTTCCGACATCCGGTCAAACGTCCGATGTGACACCCAAAAATTTTTTTTTCGCGTACTAAACAAGGCCATAGTCACTTGGTTGTCTAACTAAGTGATTGGTTTTGTTCCTTTTTTGCATACTCGAGAGTTCAAAGAAAGTAGCATCTCAGTCACCTGGTTGTCTAATTGATTTGGTTTTATTCCTTCTTTTTGTGCAGGCTCGAGAGCTTCTTCTCAAACAAAGTAGCATCTCAGCTTGCCCAAGCCTCAACGAAGAACTGACATGGTCTTTGGTACATCTGATATAGTCAATTGTTGTTGTAAAATTGTTATAGCTCTCGCCCCCCTTGTTGTGCTTTCCAGCTTTGTAGTTTTAACGTAGCAATCTGATGGCGTGTTTAATTTTTCACCAATTTAATTGCTTACATTAAGTTGGCATGTTGATGGGTGAGTTGGCTTGTGCAAAGTATTTCAGAATGAAGAGGAAAATTCACAGGGGGCAGTAAATTTTTCGCCGGGCAAGAGTAAAATTCACAAAACCACACTTTACTTAATGAATCAGGTTTGTACTTGCTCGCGCGGCTGTTGACTTTGTTTGAAAAAAAAAAATCATGGGCCAACGTGCATAAAGAACAACACCCTCCTGGATTGCACTATTTTGCAAGTATTGTTGTTGGACTGATCATCAATCACGGTCAGAGCAGTAGCTAGTAGTAATTAGTAAATCCGACTGAATTTGCATCCAATCATCAAGCATGTGAATTGAAGGGAAAAGGAAAGAACTCAAACCAATTAAAGTCTCCATTTACTTTTTTCAATAGGGAAGTCTCTAATATTTTGGAGCACTCGTCTACGGACGAGCTCCATGAACAAGGCTTACAATGGCATCTACCTGTTGGACTAGATTAAACCACGTAATTTCTTCCTCCCCTTCTTCAAGTTGACTTCATGCAGATGCATCTGATGCTGATATGCTAAGATGCTTCTTGAACCAGACACCAATGTTGAGGAAGCTCTCAAAATCCGATTGTGGTCTGAACAAAAGCATGGATTCCAGTATGAGGGAGAAAATTAGGCACAAAAGCAATAGTACAATGGCATCTGAATGTCTTTTTTTTTTCCGAACGGCTGTTGCCGACATTTTATATAAAGCAGATGAGCTGAAATTCGGTTCAGTTACTTGCTTACATGTTGATTTCATGTATGTCGTCTGGGAACATCATGATCCTGATCTCGCCGCCTCTTTCTCTCAGAGCTCTTGCGTACTGAAATCATCCGAGCAGGAATAGTTTAACCAAATCCGACAAATGAGTGAAGCAAATGCAGGATTGTTAGGTTATTAATCGAGTGTAGATGAATTTAAAGAATGTCTGTTTGATGTAGCCCGTCGATTGATTTTCTTTTCACGGGATTGTTAGGTTGTTTCAGGATCTAGCCTTTTTGTTATGGACTATTTCTACAACGAATTGAAAGTGGAAACTACTGAGGCAAATTTAAACGGCTATTGATGTACCTGTAGGCCATTAGAAATGGGGACTCGAAGATCTGCTCCTCCAAGAAGCATAAGCAGGGGCGCTTTCACCTGTTGAAATCAGCAAAGTTTTTTTTTTTAGAAAAAAAAAATCAGCAAAGTTCAGTGAGCCTTTTTGAGTAGCTAATCACTTGATTTCTCTGGTTCATTTGTTTTTAAGAACAATGACTTGATCAGTAAGAACATTTCTTTTTTGCTCTTTGAATGAAGGCGAGAACAGAAATGCACCTTCGAAATATGGGCAATTGGTGATTTCTGATAGAAGAGGCGAAGATGATCAGGTGAAGGAGATTCAGAGGCATGTTGCCTCCCTTCACTCCCACAGGCCACTGCATAACACCAATCTGGAATGTCAGTGGTGCCAATCATCAGTGATAGGTTGCAGACTGGATTACGAGCAGCTGCCACCATAAATCTATCTGGAGCCTGAAACAAAATAACAACAAATTACAAGCTGAACAAGAAACATATACTAACTTCTATTAGGATTTTGTTCTTCTTCTTCTTTTCCTTTGAGAGGCTAAAATCTGTTAGGATGCTAACCTGACCAATCAGATGTGTAGTCAAGAATCCACCGTGCGAAATTCCGATGACAGCTACTTTAGATGCGTCTATAAGTCCTCCCTCAATGACATAGTCTAGAGCTGTAAGGCAGTCTTGGACATCCTGCTTGACAGTTTGACACACATCAGAAATTAGGTTGGTTCATGAGAAACAAAGACTCAGAGTTTAGCTGGATTACATACCTGAGATCCAACCTTTCCAGGAAGTGACTGCAAAGCCTCCTCTCCAAAACCCGGTGTCCCTCTTTTTTTTTCAGATGATAGTGAGATGATGCCATAAGCTTAATTGATCAGAACTGTAGAAATGTTTCAGCAAACTTACCGATAATTTACAATAAGTAGGTTAAATCCAAGTGATGCGAGGAACGCCGATGTTTTCGAATAGCTTGATACAGATACTGAGTGTGGGCCACCATGAAGGACTAGAATAGTTGGTTTGTGCGAACTGTCCTTGCAGGACACAAAGATAGCTTCAAATGGAAGCTTACTGCCTGCAGGATATAAAAAACATTTGCTTGGTGAATGATGATAAGCCACATATGATAGTCTAAAATATTTGTGTCCATGACTATACCATCAGAGAGGTCATCAGAGGGGTTAGTGACTGGAATTTTTAGTATGCTGAATTGGTGATGTGACAACAAAGCCTTTACCTGCAGCAGATGGTAATGTGAGAATGAAAAAAAAAAGCCTGATTTAGTAAATTACATTGTTCAAAGCATCAAAGAACACCTAAGTATACTTCAAATTGTACACCATCTAACCTTATTGTTAGCTGCCATCAATGGATTATTATTAACTTCGTCCCAGACCCATGTACATGTCTGATCCTTCAATGACACTTGATGGCCATACTTAATTTGAGGTGGGTCGATGGGACTGCTTGACACTAGAAAACAAACAAAAATAAAATAAAATTATTACACCCAAAATAATAAAATTTGATGCATAAGTTAACTGATTATGTGCACCTAGAATTACCAGCAAGAACATTGTGGCCATCTACTGCAAGAGCACTCCATGAGTACTCTGAATTTTCTGGGCTTATTCTTGTTGCTTTTCCACTGCAGGAGGAATTAAGGAAATAGCATGGGATATTGCAATGATTTTTGAAGCAGTAGAAAGGCATATGTGAGCAACCTTGTTTACCTCAACACATCGATTGATAATATCACTTCAGTGCTTCTCCAAGCAGATGTCAGAATCATTGTACATCGATCAGAAAGCCAAGGATTCGATAGCATGGAAGAACAATACAAACCAGGAAAACAACCATCTTGAGGACACATTACAATTGGAATCTGGCACAGTTCAGAAGTTAAATAAATTGACTGCAGACAGCAGATAAGTACCGGTCAAGACAAATCTGAGGACATACCACATCAGTGATTTCGAGGTATTGATCCATTTTCCAGTCAGAAGGCCAGTTGATCTTATGCAGTGAATCTGTTGCATTGTGCGCTCCACTGTCTACAGCACGATTTGCAGATAGAAACACCAGAAGTTTTCCATCCTTGCTGTTGAAAATAATTAGAGATTTTCCGTGAAGAATTTTTCTAGCATGGTTTAAGGTCCTTCAAGAAAATACGCAAATACTAATGCGGGCATACCTGAACCGCGGAAAGAAAGCACTGCTTATGCTTGGAGTTAAGTTGATTGCTACTGAAGCAGGCTCTAATTTAGAATCACTGGAAAAATGTCATGGAAATATCAACTTACAACTGCCCCATAAGCATAGTTATTCAGAGCTTTACATTTTCTTATTTCAACAAACTAGTGATAAATAAAGTAAATTTGTAAACTTTACAAAGTTACAGCATGATCTGAAGATGGGTGCTCAGTTACTTACCTAGCTGGTGCATTATCAACATCTGATTCTTCGAAAGGGCAAAGAGTTGAGTATAGAGAACATGGCCTATTAGAACAGTACTTGATGCCTAGTTTTCTAGGAGTATTCTGAAACCCATTGTGCTCTAACCATCCAACAAAAATCAGATACTTCTGCCTTCCACATGAAGATGGTGGAGCCCACACAACTTGGCCAACGCTCAATGATCTTGAAATGCCTTTTGCAGCTCGTACTTCTCCACTGAATACAACAAATAAACGGTTTCAGTAAGTCGTATTGTCAGATCTATGGTCAGGTCAACATTATGTATTAATTAGAAGGTGCTGAGAGACCTATTAATGTCAAGGACAAACAATGAAGGTCTCCCTTTTTTGGAGTAAGTTTCACCCCAATCCTCTTCCCAATCCCCTTGCCCTTTCCAGTTATTGCAGTCTTTCTCAGAAGAACCTTCTTTTCTATATCCAGTATCATCAAAAACTGGTTTTGGTTCAGGTGAATCTTCAGCAATATATGCTATTAAGGTCTCTTCTTGGTTCCAGGAAATCCCATGAAACCTGTGCCAACAAAAATAGTATCATGATCCAGAATATTGTACAGATAGGTTGAATGGACTGAAAAGTGCAGGTATTATGCTGTACTTTTACCACTCATCAGTATAAAGTGGACCATGGACAGACTGAGCTACATGTATCTCTTTCTCCACATGTGATTGATCAACAATTTCAAGCTTTGTAGGGGAACCTTTCTCTCCATTCCGCACCACAAGAAGCTTTGATCCCGATGGAGATGGTACGACAGCCGACACTCCATCCATTTGAATAGGGAAAGGAGACCATTGAAAGTCCAGAAGGTTAGTACCATTTCTCATAATATGAGAAAACAAAATATATTTTCTCTTGTTGTTTGCCAGTAGGTTTGTTTGGCTAATCGAATACATTGCTGTGGATCTGTCTTCTGCAAACATGACACAAGAGTTGCTTTACGCCACTTCTGGAAAATAGTAAAATGATGATTACTAATGAGGTATAATCGAAAATCATCCCTACCATTGTTGGTCTGGAAAACCCAAGCACCGTCAATGCTGGGAGCATTGGTGAACTCTTGAAGTAGTTTCGACTGTGAAGCGTATTCTTCAGATGCCAGTGCATCCATTCCCAATGGATTGTCTTTCTCAAAGAAGATTCAAATCACTTGTAAGGTCGGTTGGAAAGACACAATCTACTGGGTTAAGCTAAATCTGCATTGTCACAAAGGTTAATATGCTGAGGAAGCTGAAGGGAAACTCAAGAATATAGTATGTTAAACAAGCTGCAGGGAAGCTCAAGTATATTTTGTTGTCAATTCCACTGATAAGATGAAAACTGAGAAACCTGAATTCCTGACTTCAACTTCATGATGTATGGGTATACATTTCAATGCCAAAAGAGCCTAGAGGTTAGAGCACACCACTCAACCTATATCACCTTAACTCTTTCATAATTCAAATTGCAGTTACCCGTGAAAAATTTCAGGTACTACCGTACTAAGACTCAGATTTCATACACTTTAATGTAGTTCAGACACAAACTATTTTTTAATTTATACTTCATAAATTCCATTAACAACTCAAGAACAACAGTCCCAATTGTTCATCTTGCAATCCATGGACAGATTTGACGTTGTCAATGCACCAATTCAAGAAAAAATATTGAATCACTTAGACAAACAAAACATGGAAACTTCTATAATGGCTACCTAAGATTAATAAAATGAAGTATCTTTCATTCTTCCTTCCCACCAAAATCCTTTTCTGGAGAACTCTGACACTAAATGCTTTGATTTTCATGTAGTACAAAAGTATAAACATAACTAAAAAATACGATGAACACTAAAAAATATTAAATCCTGGATGTTAAGTCTGGGACTAGTTCTACTAACAAAATCAGATTCTTCTGGAACTACAGCAATAATCAAGAGGACCAGACTGAGTGCAGGAGGAAACAACTTAGGACCAACAAAATTCAGCAAGTTAGAAGCCTCAAAACAATAAAATCAGATTATAAATCGTATTAGCCTTTCAGGAGACGAAGGAAAGGAGAATACTTACATATATTTTTCTGCTTTTGCAGTGAAGTGCAAATGGAGTCTAGTGGCAGAGTGGTTGATCCAAGACTGCAGTTGAGCTTTAAAACATCATCAGTCCTTAGCAACGATCCCAACAAACCTAACAACAAACAATTGGTGAGGATCAGATGGCATCAAATTTTGGTTTTCTTTTTGTGTCAGGTCTCAAAGAATGGGCCCAAAATAACAAAAGGAATCTTAAAAAGTTACTAATGATCGTACATACCACCATAGACAATGAGACAAGAGGAACCCAGCAATAAGGACAAAAGGTTGCGTCAGGTCCGCATCCACGAAGAAAGCATCGAACAGCACAAGAAGCCTTTGCAATAACTTATATTGTTGTCCTTTTTAAAATCGTATGAAACAACAAAGCTCTTTGTACCATCTGATGAAAATGAGATTATCCAGAAGGCAACTTCAAGGGATCTTGATGCAAAGAAGCAGAAGTTACAGTGGTCTCAATCAGCATTTCCATGTGCCTAACTTGAACTGAACTTTCATGTATTTTTTTCTCACTGAAATTCAAAAGAAATTATGATCCCATTGTTTCCTAAAAAAAGATAAAAATAAAAGGAATGCCCAAGCCCAACAGGCTACAGGACAGCAACCGTGAACTAGAAGTACTTCAAAGTTCAAAGTAAAGCATAATCTAACATCACATATTTGTAATCCATAGTTCCGTACCACGAGGGTAAAATTTTATAACCAAATGCATTTACATTTTCAAGAATTATCCCAGTACAGAAATGTTACAGCAGGCTTAATTTATTAGAATGCCAACAGAACCACGTTTCCTTGGGCTGCTTTGACCCAAATTACAAGCATTTATTAAGCAAGGTGAGAGTGTGGTAACAGAGGCATGTTGTTTATTTGCTCATGTGCTTCTTGAACCAAACACCTATATTGAGGAAGCTTTCAAAATCAGACTGTGGCCTGCACAGGGGACGCAAGGTTGACTTAGTCAAATGTTGCAACACAGAAGACACTGATCGGGGTAACAAAGGTAAAATGATTAAAAAGTACAACTAACTTGTCAAGGCCATGCATATCTTCTGGAAAGACAATAATTTTGGTTTCAACTCCCATCTCCTTCAAGGTCCTTGCATACTGCATATGTTGCGATTATGATTAGGCATAAACCAGCATTTGTAAAAGTGAAAATAAATAAATAGATACAAGCAGTATATAGTGGAACAATATGAATCATATGCTTTCACTAATGGTTTTCAGGAAAATTGACTGAACTTGTCTACGCAAACAATAACATGAATGCAACATTGCTACTAGTAATCATTTCACAACCCTTTCATCATATAAAAATGAAACAGAAGTGCATAAGAAATTACCTGTAAGCCATTAGAAACAGGAACTCTGAGATCTTGTGCTCCAAGGAGAAAAAGTGTTGGCGTGCTCACCTGCAGATTTTCTTAAACTGTCAAGAAAAGATTACTCAAAGTCCTCAAGGAGCAAATTTGCATGAGGGAACTACACTTTCTTCCTCAAGCATAGATTTTGTAAAAGGTTAAGTATGCAGAATCTACATACCTTTGATATATGTGATATTGGTGATTTCTGGTGAAATTGACAAAGATCATCAAATGAAGGATACTCTGAGAAGCAGTTTTTCCCTTCTTTCCCATAAATCTCCACAAAACACCACTCAGGTATGTCAGTTGTTCCTACCATCAATGATAAATTACATACTGGGTTTCGAGCAGCTGCTGCAACAAAAGTGCCTGGAGCCTGCAGTCCATGAAACATAAGGTCAACAGAATCCAAGAAGACCTGATAAATAGAAGAATCCATGTGCTATTGCCTGTGCATCATGAACTCTTATTGTCTTGTATGTATAGTCATAAAGAAACTGTATAGACCTATCATGAACTCTTATTGTCTTGCATGTATAGTCATAAAGAAACTGTATAGACCTAGTTCCCACATGCAGCAGTAGTTTCTCACTATTTTTGTCAAGGAAATAATTATATTCTAAAATCAGGAAATATTCTTGAGAATATCACATGTGAACTTCTTAATCATGAAAAGGTAAAAACAGCTCGGCTTACACTGCAGTGAAGCTTTACTTCCAAGAAAAGGAAACAAATGCTGATCCTAACTCTTGTAAGAATGTTTTTCTAGGATATTATTCTGGACTTAAGCGTTGCAATGTAATATATAATTTAATAGCTAATATAAATTGGTGTCATCATTTTTTTAAAAGAATTTTTAGCTGTGCACTGCTACAGAGCTCCTGAAATATCCAAGTTTAGCTTTGAGCCTTTAAGTTCACTGACCATAACTTAGTGTGCTTGGGTACTTATATTAAACTTACTACTCTCTTTTACAAATTACAACCTCCCTCCCAAAATTATAAGTTTACAGCACATTTCTCAAATATAAGAGTTTCATATAGACCAATACACATTATCAAAAGACACTGTTCCCAATTATGTCCAAATGAGTATATACAGTTTACAACAAGAATTGTGCTAGATTATTTGTGCAAACGATTAGGCACAAATAATTGAATCCCTAAAGGAAATATAAACTGCAAATGTAATGAATAATTGCATAGATAAAGAATTCAGAATAACAAAGGCATGCTAAGAACCTGGCCAATCAAATGAGTTGTCAGGAAACCACCGTGTGAACCTCCAACAACAGCTACTTTAGATGCATCTATTAATCCTTTCTTTATAACAAAGTCCAAAGCCGTCAATACATCATTCACATCCTGTTCATGAGTATTAAACAATTGTACGTAATGACAGTTCATATAAAATTTCTGGCAACTTAAGAAAATAATCTTAAAACATGGAAATAAATCAACAACAGTGCACCTGAGAACCAATATTTCCAGGAAGAGATTGTAGTGCTTCTTCACCAAAGCCTAGTGAACCTCTAGGCAACAGAATGGTGTGTACGTGGACATTAATGTTAGTGTTTAATATGATATATTTCCAAAGCAGAATTCAGAAAGGACAGGGTATTTTAACCTAGTTCAACAGAAGAACTACTGGAAGAAAAAAAAATAAAGCTCACCTATAGTTCACAACAAGAAGGTTATATCCCTGTGAATAAAGAAATGCTAACGATTTTGAATAGCTTGATGGGTAAACAGTGTGTGGTCCACCATGAAGAACAACAATTGTTGGTCTTGTTGCAGAATCCTTCCAGGACACAAAAATAGCCTCAAAGGGCAGCTTAGCACCTGAATCAATTTTATAAAATATAAAAATTTAGGAAGGGGAGAGGATGTGAGTATTCTACTAAAGTACATTTTCAAACATTAAAATGCAAATGAAGCTTAGCATGCATCCTTAAGGATGCAAACAACCAAGAAGAGTATTCTACCATGAGCTTTGAGAACTTTCTTACAAATGCATTTTAGTGTTGCCTTGAGTAAATGCAACATGGTTAGATTTTGTCGCAGTTCAGAATATATCAGCCTACAAGTACTAGACAGTACAGCTGATCTCAAGAAAAACATAGCGTCAACTGAAGAATGCAGTAACAGAAGTATTCAAAACACAAGGCACCAAAGAGTACCAATTCCAGGAAAAAAAAACAGTCAGAGGCTTTTTTTTTCCTCGAATGCAGGAGAGCTGTCTGTCATTTCATTAAAGAAAGGAGCTTTGGGTTGTACACATACCATCAGCGAGTTTGTTAGAAGAGTTGCTAATCGGGATTTTGAGTATACTGAACTTATGGTCTGCTAATATTGCACTGATCTGCCAAACATACATCACAGAAACTGTTAGTACTTTACACTGCCAAAATTTTTGTCAGTGTTTTTGGGGAAAAGTTGAACAAGCAACGCATTTTTTCAGTTATACCTTATCAGAAGGACTCGGAAAAGGAGTTGCAATTTCTTGCCACTCCCATTGGTTTGGTTTTCCAGTCTGACAAACCTCAGACCCATAGTATATTTGAGGAACTGTAATAAGGCTGCTTGAAACTGGAAAAGGTGGGAAAGGCACATGAATATGAAATCTTATCCAAAGGAACTATGGGATACAACTGTAACTTCGGTACGGAATTACCTGCAAGAATATTATCCTTGTCTAGTGCAAGAACATTCCATGAATAATCCGAATCCTGAGGACTAACTCTTGAAACTTCACGGCTGTGAAGAAAATAGGTAATTTCATAAATAAATAAACTTTATAGCCATATCATTCTAACTGATGGATAAAAATGCTTGTAATCACCTCACAACATTTACAGAAAGTATTACTTCCTTACTTCCCCAAATAGAAGATAAAATCATAGTTTGTCCATCAGTAAGCCATGGATTCCTAAGTATGCCAGAGCAGTACAGACCAGGAAAACAACCATCCTGAGGGCACATCACAATAGGTACCTACATAACAGCTAAGACATTAAGAACTTGATATCGGATATGCAGAGCACCTATAAAAAGAAACACACCATTATAAATTTTACCCTCTGAACTTCGTTCTTTTAACTGAAATTGAATTTAGATACTTCAATAATTAAAAAAATAATTGAAGTTCCACTTCACAAAGTCCAGAAATACATATCTTTAATCAAGTATAGCCAACAGGCAAACAATGTGCTCAAATAAACACTGGTTAGATTTATGTATTTTTCCAAGCCATGACTTTGAAGCTATATATAAAAGGAAGCCATCTAAACAAAATGATCGATTAAAAAATTAACAAGTAAAGGAAAGGCATTGTTGTACCACATCAGCAACACTGAGGCCCTCCAATTTCCCATCTGCAGGCCAGTCAATCTTATGCATTGAATTTGTCGCATTGTGTGTTCCACTATCTATAGCACTCTTTGCTGAGATAAACACAAGATACTTTCCATCTGGACTGTACAATAAAGATTCCATATCATTTTTGCGACGCATTGTTAACATTCATCTACATGCATCAGCTACCAGTACTAAGTTATAATCTAGACATGAAAACTTCAATTGTAGATGTGCAAATAAAATGTATTGGTGTTGCAGTAAATTAATATCTACTGAGTCAATCCACAGGATTACAGGAACAAGGAAATAATAAAGACACCTACTCATCAGCCCAAAATGCTCCACTTTCCAAATTCACTCCCATTTGAATTATGATTGTTCAAATATTTAGGTTAAAATACATGATAACAAGCATGAACAATCAATTGACATGCTTTAAGGGAATTTGATTAAAATATTTTAAACCATAGAAGAAAAATTACGCCTAACAATTATAATGCATAATTAAAGAAATACGGCTAGGATGTGTAGCTTGTACTTCTTCCAATATAATAGTTGAGACATATGGCCTAAACTGAATAACAGTACTGAGCAAAGAAAACTGAATGCAGTCCTACCTGAATCGTGGGAAAAAAGCACTGCTCAACTCTGATGTTAACTTGGTTGTAGGTGCAGTTTCACCCTTACTGACACTGTACAATAAACAGAAATGACATCAGAAATAAACTTTCTATTTTTTGAGACATGATGCATACAATCCATTTAGCATTTGTCTGCTCAGGACTAGGATTAATGAGGAAAAAAGAGTGAAAATATATATGGAAGATTTTTTTTCCTTGAAAAAAATATGCTGCTACAATTATTCTGAGAGAAGAATTTACAGTGTCACACGATCACTAGAAAATAACTAAAATGTGACAATTAATACCTTAATATGTTAGAACAGGAAGCCTACAATGGTGCATAGTTGAAATAGAACTGAATAAATATTGTCATCAAGGACAGGTGTTCTCACTTAAGTGATGGCTTATCAGCTTCTTCCATGAAAGGATCAGGAACAGCATACAGAGCACAAGGTCTGTTAAAGCAGTATTTAATTCCAAGTTTCCTTGGTGTCTTTTGGTAACCATTATCAGATGACCACGCCACAAAAACCAGGCTATGTGATGATGATGGAGCCCAAATCACTTGGCCAACACTTAATGTTCTCGGTATGCCCTTCACAGCTCGCACTTCACCGCTGCAATGAAACTATTCCTCACAAAATTGCAGTACTTTTAAAGCTATTTTGGATTCAACCTTCAGAACAACCAGAAACACACCTTGAAATGTTGACCACGAACAATGCAGGTATCCTTTTCTTGGAATACGTTTCTCCCCAAGTTTCTTCCCAATCCCCTTTTCCCTTCCAGCTCTTGCAGTCTTTTTCAGACGAGCCAGCCTTCTTGTATCCTGAATCATTGAATTCTGGCTTCGGTTGAGGAGGCTCCTCAGCAACGTAAGCTACTAAAGTCTCTTCTTGATTCCACGATATCCCTTCAAACCTGCATTTAAGAAACATGAAGTACAAAAAGTGGCGAATGGAGCAATCTCTCGTCCCTAATTACCTCTGTCTTTCTTCCAAAAAAAAACCCACTACCACACAAAAAACTAAGAAAGTTGTTCTAAAAGAGGCAGGATAGTTTACCATTCGTCGACATAGAGTGATCCATGAACAGATTGTGCAATGTGAATCTCGTTCTCCAACTGACAGGGGCCCCAAACTTCTAGTTTTGTAGGGGAATCATCCTCAGAATTCCGTATTAGTAAAAGTTTTCTCCCAGATGGCGATGGAATTACTGCTGAAACTCCACTCATTTCGATTGGGAAGGGAGACCACTGGAAATCCACAGAATTTGAGGAATTTTTTGAGATGTGGGAATTTAATAGGAAGCTCCTCTTTTTGTTTGCCAACAGATCTGTTTGGCCAACAGAAACTATCGCCCTAGATGTGTTTTCTGCACAACACGAGAAGAAGAGTAAGAAACCTAAGTTCAGTAAAACCAGATAGCAATAACAGCACATACCAGTCTTGGAATTGAAGATCCAAGCGTTGCCAATAGTGGGAATTTTAACGAATTCCTGCAGCAGCTTGGACTGGGAAGCATATTCATCCACCATGGAGACATCCATCCCCAAAGGCAATCCTTTCTCAGTGGCTGCTTCTGAGGCTTGTGTGGTAGCCATAGCTGTTGGGTGCGATGATATTCTACTAATGCTGCCAGATGGAGTCAATGAGGTTAAATCAGCATTGCCAGAAAAGATGGGTCAAGTGATCACTACATAAAGCAGACCAAGAATTTCGAGCATAAGACTTGCTACTAGGTCCTCAACATAAAAATAAAAATAAAACAATACATATTCTAAGAACAAAACAATTGTGCGTCATTACAACTGATTTCTTTTCATCGCGCTGTCCCCATCATGTGGCACTTTTTTTTTTTACAATACAAGTCATTGTCTTAGCACTATCAAAACTATTGCCTCTTTGCAACAATTCAATTAATTCTTTTGAACCCAATAAAGCAACCACGGCACTGAGGCTAATAGATCACTGTCCACTGAATAAAACTGATTTTACATTAATACAGCAAACTAAGAACTAGCCGAAGTGGACAAGACATATTATCTGCAGCAATGGTCAATCACATGTTATGTAAATTAGTAAATTACATCCCCAGCTAGCTAGTGATTCATATTACTCCCTCCGTTTCAGGTTATAAGACGTTTAGACTTTGGTCAAAGTCAAACTACTCTAAGTTTGACTAATTTTATAGAAAAAATAGTAATATTTTTAACCCAAGACAAATGTATTATGAAAATTTATTCAATTGTAAACTCGACTCCTTTATCTTTATACCCAAAAAGGAGACCCGCACGTACGGTTTTCAGGGGGATCCGGCCGGCCGGTGCCCACCCGATTAGAGGGACTGAGAAATTAATTGAGTACAAAACTTATCTTCAAGCTTTGAGTGCTATTCCTTTTATGAAATTACACCGGGAAGGAATTGAGCAAGCCAAGTCATTTAACTCACTCCACTTAAGATTGAACAACCCCAGTCAGTGTTGGCAGTCTTCCTATAAGATAATCATCTTTCCTTTGTTTTGACATTCGTTTGAGTTCTTTACATGTACGTACAATTACAGCTCGTCTTACTTCTGTCTGATCTTTCTAGAGGCATTTTGGGCACTGCTTCTTTGATTACAGCAACAATAACGTCACCAATATGAGCATATCAGTGATTACCAGCTCCTAAGATTCGAATACATATCAATTCGATAGCCCCGCTCCGTTGTTATCCGCTACATTCAAAAGGGTCTGAGTGAGATGGATCTTGGAAGTCTGGTTTTTGATTGGATAGTGATCTCGGGCACGAGTGGTTGATCTTCGCGGGCCGTGAATGGCCATGGAAAGGAGTATTGATGTCAATATGTTCGATCGAGAAGATTGGACGATGAAAGACGGATCCTTTGTGGTTTGAATAATAGGCTGTGGTCTCGATATTGGGCTATGGGCTGATTGCTTTCTATATGAGCCTCTTGTGATTGGGCTCTCGTGGGCGGATTACCCGATGTGTACTCATCTTCCAACAAAGAGGAGAGGACAGGGCTACTGTTGGTCCACGCATGAGAGCTCCTCTGTGTCTTTCCGGAAATTACTTCGACTCGCAAAGGTGAAACCAGAGGAGATTCAGAGGCCCAGTTGAGAACAGCAAGTGTACAATCAATCGGTTTCCGCTCCTTTTCTATCCAATTTGTTTATGTTTGTTCTAATTACAAAAGAGAACAAATCCTTTATTTTTGCAGGCCAATTGCTCTTTTGACTTTGGGTTTTTCCTATGTGGATAGGCATCTTGACTTTGATTAAGTAATTGCCATGCAGGTTGAGTATAGTGGAAGGCATTAGCAATAACCTGTGGCCTTTGGTTCTGGTAAGAACAATGTTGGATATCAAGAGGTCTCAAATCGTTTGAAGTAAGTTACAACTTATAACTGGAAGTTGATAAAGCGAAGGGGCAATTTTGGAATAATCGTAGCGCGCTAGCGCGGCTCGCTTCGCTTTTCGACGCGGAGCTCGCTGCTGTCGAAGCCTGCTTCAAAACTACAGGGCGTGCGTTAGCACTACGGCTTTTCAGCCTCCCTTTGCTGGTTCCGAACTATCACTGATCCCAGAACCTTCAAACCTTTTTCTTTTAATCTCAGGAAGGCTTTCTCGGGGAGAAAGCAGGTTGGGGAACTGGTTCAAATCGTTCATTCGTTAGGATGCCTCAGCTGCATACATCTAAGGAGCAACGTTCTTCTAGGTCCTCTTGCATTTCCAGATCCGCATGTAAAACCAAACTCAAATAAATTCGATCCTTTTCAGTCAGAGGCCGCTCGGGAGTAGGAGGTCGTGGACTCGCGGATTCTCCCTCCTCCGCGGGAAAAATTTGGGAAGCCCTTCTCGGCTCTTGCCTGGCCTGGAGTTGAAGAAGGAACTGGTAGCACTTGAATCAGAGGAAGATCGGAATAGCAGACGAGTTGCAGCTTTTAGTATTGTTCAAAGCTTGGATGCCGACGACATTCTAGGATGAATGTAGACCCATCGGGCAGGGATAATCATTCCGGTCCTGGGAGAGGTGGCGGCATCAGTCTGAGCTGGGGGAAGCCAGCCAATTGAATCACTGAAACGACCGCAGGAGGCGCACCCTAAGCCCAGCTTCTCGGAGCTGCTATTGCGAAATACGGCTTCCTTAATATCAAAATTTCAACAAGGGGGCTGGGCTGCTCGCCTTCATAGAAAGGCCTCGGGACGAGGGCTCCGTTCCCTCTGCTCTGCTGCCCGGAGGTATAGATCGAGTTTTTATTTTCCAAAGTGCTTCCTCCGGTCAGCAGAGGGGAGCGACTTGTCCCTTCGGAACAACTACAACTAACGAGTTCTTCTACCCCGAAAAGTTTGAGGCAAATGAACGCATTTTTGCCCGTCGTCTCCGAGCTATATATCCTCGCAGAATTCTGGTCATTGAATCAAATTAACCTTAATGAATAACTATCCTCGACGAGGACAGTGAGGCTATAGTACTGACTATGCATAGGACTACAAAGGTTCAAAGACAGGATGTATTCGACCCTTGGATGTGATCGGCAAGAGAAAGAAGGAATTCCTTTGGTATAAGGAAGGAAATCAAACGCGTTGTTTGAGAAGGGGTGCAGCAGAACGATAGAGACTCCATTTAACTTAGGTTGATTTAATTTAGGCCGGAGGCAGACCTAAGTCAAGGTAATCCTTCTTTGAAACACTTTGGTATTGCTTTGACGAGAAAGCCGTCTAGCACCTGTAGCTGGCTTGCTTCACGTCCCGCTGTTTGCTTACGAGTTTGGTAGCGAGCCGAGGCAGACGTTTGTAGATCTTGCCTCGAAGCCTCTTCACAGTTGATAGCATCATATAAATTTAATGAAACTATGCTTGTGTTGTAAATATTACTACTTTTTTTTCTACAGAGTTAGTCAAATTCAGAGTAGTTTAACTTTGACCAAAGTTAAAACGTCTTATGACAGAGAGTACTGCTCAATTTCTGACTTCACCAACCACCAGGAAATCAAACAATCCACAACAATCTCATACCGCTGGGTGCCATCCTAATTTTCAGAAAACCATCCCCATTAAAGGAAAAAACAGAAACAGTAACAGAGGCGCAGATGGCTCAGTCTCACACCCGAATCGCTACCGGACCAAGCAATCGCTCGAACAGATAAAAGCGATCCAAAGGAGGACACACCTGATCTCTACTAATCCTCCTGGAGAAATCCCCCCGAAAAAAAAAAACGACACCTCGTGAACTCGAAGAGCCCCGCTCACCTGCCTCGCCACGGGGAGTACCCGCTGGCCGGAGCAGCGGCACGAGCGCGCGGGGACGACGAGGAGGGCGCCGCCGAGAGGAGCAAACTCGCGGCGACGACGATGGAGGAGCGGGAGTAGAATCTGGGAGTGAGACTGAGACCCGTGGCTAAAACCACCATCGGCTTGGGTGGATTCCTTTGGGTATTGGGCTCTTTTCGGGCCTCTACTTTTTTATGGGGGTGCAGATTCTTATCCTTTTCATATGCTTGTCTCAAAGATTAAGCCATGCATTCTCTCGGTCAAATAAAATACAAATCTACTCTCTCTATAAAAAAACAAAATTGAATGCGATACATACCAGGACAATAAATCTGGACATATGTATATCCAGATTCATAGTAATAGAATGTGTCATATTTAATACTAGGTTAATTTTTACGAGACGGAAGGAGTAGTACGGAATATAACACAATATCTAGATTCGTAGTATCAGGATGTGTCTTAATATGTACTAGGTTTGTTTTTTTAATGGACGGAGGAAATACACTATTAGGAAAATCACATATACTATCTCCGTCCATAATATAGTAACCTAGTAACTTATTTAGATTCATCATACTATTATGATATATTTCAACCGGTACTAAATTGCTATATTACAGTACTATGAGATGGAGAGGATGTGTCTTAATATGTGCTAGGTTTGTTTTTTTAATGGACGGAGGAAATACACTATTAGGAAAATCACATATACTCTCTCCGTCCATAATATAGTAACCTAGTAACTTGTTTAGATTCATCATAATACTAGAATATATTTCAACCGGTACTAAATTGCTATATTACAGTATTATGAGATGGAGGGAGTAACACATTCCTCTTGCTTTCTTACATGTTTAGAAAGCTTCTAACAGCTACAACTTCTTATAAAATTTAAAACTTTTTTAAATAGTCCAGTTTCTCATCCAAATTATAAGAAGATGTAGTTATAAAATCTAGAAAATGAACTATAAGCTAGAAGCTGGGTTTTCCAGACTCTCATAAGCTAGTTACTAACCAGTTGTTTCTCAAAATTTTAAACTCATCACATAGACACTAAGTACTCCCTCCGTTTTACTGATACACTTTTTTTTAAAAATAATAATCAAAGAATAGGATGAGACTAAATAAAAGGGAGTTGCCATTGATTATGATGAGGAAATAGATAGAGCAGCAGCTCTATTATGGATAAAATTTAAATGCTAGAATAGTTGTATTATGAGATGGAGGTAGTATGTTTTAAATATCGGAATTGCTAACCTTCTATTATGTCCCGATTCGTGATGCACTCCTTCTACTCTAACTCTGGCGACCGGCGGTGACTCGATGAGTTAGGGTTTAAGCCTTTAGGGTCCCGGGTTGGGTGGGGATAGGAGGAGGGTTGGGATAGATGGAAGAGAGGAGAAATCGCTGGGCTTAGGGGGATAACCGTGGGAGACGACGGCCTAGTGGTGGACGGTGGTTCTAGGTTTCTTTACATAATAAACATGCAAATTATCCATCTGATTATCCTATGGAAGATTGATACATAATAAGCAAACGGAAAGATCATTTTGTAAATCTAATGGTTTGGGAAAATACCTCACTGTTTTGCCTTCGATGCTTCCTCAGGAGCGTTCTCCTTGCATCAATTTGATCAGGTCATGGATGGAGCAGGGAGACGACACCAGAAGGATTCGAATTAGAATCTCCTTTTCTCTGGCAGGGCCGGCAACATGGAGAGAAGAGGGTTTCAAAAGGTAACGAGGGAAACAAACTCTTCCCCATCCACATAGACGAACAGTCTATCTAGGCGCTCGGGAATCCCGGGCATTCGACCACATGATGGAAGTATGGAACGACCGTTAAGATGTACTAGCTCCTGCAGAGCTAGATCATTAAGAATGAGACGGAAGCGGCCCATCATTCGCCGGTTAAGGTTGGTGTTGTTTTTCTTGGTCTCGATAGATTAGATTGAAATTGGCTATTATGATCCCAGGACAGACACGATGGGCTCTAATATCTCGGATTTCATAGAGAAAACAAATTATATTTGGGTCAGTTTGCGGGCCATAGACGATAGTAATCTAGTGGCACGACCCGTCAACAAAGGATAGCTCTGTCGTGAAAGATAACGGGTACGCCTAATGGGCAATCGATCACCGTGGGGATGGGATAGCGATCAGATTCGCTCCCCACCTCCCCCCTTCCTCCCTCCTCTGGTTTTCTTTTTTGGCACCGCATTACTTTCATATTTTAGTAAATTTATACAGCTAAAGTTTATACACCTAAAGTTTACACATCTAAAGTTTAGAGACTAAAAGTTTATAAGTCAAAAGTTTATATATCCGATTCAAATTTGAATTTGAATTCAAATATTTTTTTATATATAGTATTTCTATACATCTAAAGTTTATACACCTCAAGTTTATAGACCTAAAATTTATAAGTCAAAAGTTTATATACCCATTTCAAATTTGAATTTAAATTCAAATATTTTTCATATATAAGTATTTCTATACACCTAAAGTTTATATACCTAAAGTTTATATACCCGATTCAAATTTGAATTTAAATTATATCTGATTCAAATTTGAATCTGAATTCAAATATTTTCTCTATGTAGTATTTCTATACATCTAAAATTTATACACCTAAAGTTTATAGACCCAAAGTTTATAAGTCAAAAGTTTACATACCCGATTCAAATTTAAATTTGAATTCAAATTTTTTTTATATATGGTATTTCTATACATAAATTTTTCTAACTTTTGTTTTTTAAAAAAAATTGTATGGTTTACTGTAGTAGAAAGAGGAGAAGGGAAGGAGGAAGGGGGAGAAGAGGGAGGAGTACATCTAGTAGTATAGGGGAGAGGGTGGGCGGGTGATCGCTAGGCGGGTGGGGGAGCGATCACCCGCCCATTAGCATTTCCGAAAGATAACTGGCCGAGAGAGAGGTTTTTGCAAGAAACCGCACTATTTACTTCTACAGGAGAGATGGAATGACGAAGCCGAATTGGTCGGCTATTAATTTATATCCTAGCAGCACTGCCTCCCTCCCCATCGAGCAATCTACAAGGGTTTCTCAAAAGGGCTTGTGCTTGTGTATCAAGAAGAAATGGTTGCCTCTTATATTTGAAGACCCCACAGAGTTCATGCTAGTGGGGAAATTCGTACCTTAACTGTGACCCGCTATCGCACGCAAATGCAATTCTTCCTCATTGCCGCTTGGGGCGCGCGTTTGCGATCACCCCCTACACCATTAATCCGTATTTGTATCAATTATATGTAACCGTTCAGAACAAGAATAGAGTAATAATAATATGTGGCATACAAATATTTATCAAGAGAAAACTACACACTAGAGATAATGTTTCATTTAACTTAGGTCCTGACAATAAACTACCGAGTTTGTATTCATAATTTGTCACGACCCAAATATTTTTTTTGACAGTCTGTCGTATCCTTATATATATATATATATATATATATATATATATATATATATATATATATATATATATATATATATATATATAAGTCCATAAGGATATAAGGCAAGATGTAATATCTAACTATCACAACTAGAGCTTGGACACTTTCAACAATGGTTCCATTTATTTTTCACCAGCTACATTGCATAATACATCGGTTGATTCGCTTACCAACTTATTATTACCAAGACGATACCCTATACCTAGCATGATGGTATGTCCTCTTGTATGCTTCTAAAGACTAAGTAGACCACGCTCCCCATTAGGTTTGCATGTCATCATTTCCCTCGGACATCTCGTCTTGACTAGTTTCTGCGCACATCAAATAGTAAATATATGAGTATATTACACATACTCAGCAAGATTAGTACATATAGCTATATAGATGTTTTTAAAGACAGAAAATACTACTACCCTTAGATATTAACAACCGATAAATAATAGAAGACATTTAACATAGTAAATGAGTTAAAAATACACTGCAGAGGTATTAAAATAATCGTCATAATATCGTTCCTTCAATCCATTTTCTCCCCCAATTAGTGATACCCTAATCTGAGAATCACGCCGCTGAATTCCCTAGTTGTGTGAGGCATTCCTCATCTCACACTGATATCAGCCGACTCGATATCGTTGTTTCAGGTATCGGCCGTCTCAGGCTAAGTATCACTATCACGTTATTATTCTCACTGATAAAATCATCAATCCATTATTCGTGTATTAATAATATTTACTGTTAGATTGTTAGTATCACCATCTCAATGTAATAATGGTAAGCAAATTTAGTTAGAGATGATTAAGTAAAATAGTTGATGGGCGTAGTCTTGCCTAGTTTTCTATCGTTCTACCCGTGCGTTTCGCCTAGCCAAATATGCAAATCTTTGATATTAATTAGGCCGTGTTTAGATTCCAACTTTTTTCTTCAAACTTCTAACTTTTCTGTCACATCAAATATTTGGACACATGTATGGAACATCAAATGTGGACGAAAAAAATCAATTGCACAGTCCGACTGTAAATTGCGATATCTTTTGAGCCTAATTACGCCATGATTTGACAATGTGATGCTACAGTAAACATTTGCTAATGATGGATTAATTAGGCTTAATAAATTCGTCTCGCAGTTTACAGGCGGAATCTGTAATTTGTTTTGTTATTAGTCTATGTTTAATACTTCAAATGTGTGTTCGTAAATTTAAAAAAAAAATTAGCACACGAACTAAACACAGCCTCAATATATAAATTTTCATGCATGACAGCTACTAATAGAAGATAGCTAGTTGATGTGACTATGCTAAAGGGACAGAACCAACAAGTACTAGTAGGTGCTTCCATGCATGCATGTAGCTGCTGTTAGCCAGAGTATTAGTCTTTTCACTAATATATTAGTATATTTTTTACACTAATCTATCTATTCTATAGCTAGACATCAGGTGTTTATTCTAGCCATGTACTCACAAAAACCAAAGGACAATGTTCCATACATTAATTACCGGGAAGGCTTCTACTAGCTCTAATCACTCAACTCATGGACCTTGCCACAGCCAGCGCAGGGAAAAGTACTACTCATGAGACAAGAGCTGTAGGATCACGTACGGCTTAAATAGAGCAGCTTCCTTCAGTCTGAAGCGGACATCTGTCCAAAGCCATGATGATGGAGATAGGATTCACCCTCTCTCTTCCTTACCCTAGAAGATCCTATCCATCAACCCTCAGTG